TAAAACATTATAAATGTCTTTACTCTCACTTTTGATTAATTTAATGCATCCTTGCTAAATAAAAGTATTAATTTCTTTAATAAAATCTTTTTAAATATGTTACTGTTTAGGTGTCCTTTATCATTTTAACAACCTTAATCTACTTCCATGAGTTGAGTGCAACAGACCTACGGCAGCAGTCAATCTTTTAAGATACACTGTAGACATTGGAACATCTGTCTGTAAAACTAGTTTTTGAAAGTGTTGTTTTGGATTGCAATGACTCTCTTGAGTGTCGTGGCAAAGAATCAGGCTAAACGGAAAGTCTGCAAACAGGAAACTAAGGGATGCAGAGGTCTGAGCTGTGGGATTTCCCCAAAGAGCCGAGTTAAAGGTGTGTTCATGCCTGTTTGGTCAGCTGGACGATTATGAAAAGACACTTTGTGGAGATTATCTGGAGTGATTTATAGAAAACGGTTATATGCATAATTAAATAAGGGCAAAAAAAGAGAACGGAATAAAATAGAATAATTTTAATTGTGTTATGACAGAAAAACTTAACCTGTAATGTTAATCTTGTTTGCAGGCTGTTGGTTGCTGTTGCAAGTCACGGTATGAATATCCACAAAATATTATCTCCTTTAGATCATTTATATGTCATATATAACAAATACAACACAAACGATGTTGCTGTTGTTAGTGAGCTGTGGCAGAGAAGCAGTAGTGCTAAATGGTCAAATTATTGATAATTATTATGAAATGCTTTTACAAATATAAAAACTAAATTTTCCCCTCTTCTCCATTTTACATCAACTACATTTTAGCTCAATACACTTGTGGATGTAGACGTGCAAATTCATTGAGCCAAATATAGGTGGAAGGCTTGCTGATCACAGCTTTCCATGTACAGTCATATTTGATTCATTATAGTATATTTCACCAGAATTTGTAAAGAATCACCCCACTGCACCTTTATCAAATTGTACATGAGTAATACAGGGTGAACTGGAAATAGCTTGTAAGACATAAAAATGCATCTAAGACGTGACAGGTTGTGAGTGTGGCATGTGTGGGTGGTTATTCCGTTTTTTTTTTTTTTTATATCTTGATTTAAAATGCATATTTGCTTTTGTTGAAAGGAAAATATTACTTCAAGCATTACATTTTCACTATCACGCTTGGTATGCATGTTAAATATTCATGTTTTCAAGAGCTTTTTCCATTTAATGAGATAGAAATGAAGTTGTTCTGATACAGTAGTAGCAGATGACTTGATCTGGGCTGCTTTTACTATTAAAAAGTGCATATCTGTTCTGATAAAACATGTTAAATGCAAAAATAAAATGCATTTAACCATGCCAGTCTTATCATTATTATATTATATTATATATTTAAAATAACAACAACAATAACATCAAAAACTAAGGAGGACAGAGTGCTTTTCGTGTCTTTTTATTTGTTGTGAATGTCCATGATCCCAGTCAAACTCTGATATTTTGGCACAAATTCACCTGAAAATGTAGCTAATATGAATACAGTATTCAGGCCAGTGCTCATTCTTGTGGATGGTAACGCACACTTCTATATTATGTTAAAAGTATTATGCTATATTACGTTATTAAAAAAAATCCCATTCATCATATGTCATGTTAATAATTTGCATGTTGTCGAGCGATCAGCAATATTATAAATTTAAATGTTTGATTGTATTTTCATAATCTCTTTGTTAGACCATATATTTTTTAATATCTGGTCATTTATTTATGTTCAGATGCCACATGTTGACTGCTTTTAATTAATCCTCAGTAACTGATAATAATACATTTTATTCGCAATGCGCCTTTCTCATACTCAAAGCTGTAATAAATAATAATAAAATCTAATAAATATTTCCAATTGACAAATAATATTGCAAAAACATATCACACATTTTTGTTTTATTTCCTTAGACTTTGGAGAGACCTACTGTACTTTGAAACAAAAACTAAATTTGTTTGCTGGGCTGTGCTTTGTTTCAGAAAAAAATATTTTTTTAGCCATCACAGGGAAGTAACTCACAGTTTTTAACTCTCATTTGCCTTTCTTGCTATGCTGTCTATCATATCTGGTGAACCCTATTCTTGCTTCTGCTTTCTACAATGTTGTTAACTCAATTCTTTATTCTAAGAGATCAGGTTTACAGCAAACAAACATACAGACTGGCCGTGGCCTTTGGTGAACTATTTCCTGTTTGAAGTAGATGCAGAGCAGAGCTCAGGGGAAGTCCTGGTATACCCTGAGGTTTCGCTTCAGTGGTAATAGTTAAAAAGAAGCTATGTGAGGTCTTATGATGACCTGTTCACACAGTCTGAAACACTAATACACGCTACAATCCCATGTAACCACATTCATTGTCTAATTTGGTTGAGCTTTCAGAACAGAAACCATTTCACAAGGTTCAATGGGACAGGCATTTGGTCACACAAATGCTGTTCAATTGGTCAGCTTTTCTTCTAATTATATCAAGTTCCAGGCTTTCTGGAAATGGCAAACTAGGGTATTCTTTATCATACTTAAAATTTTCATAACTGAACGTCTTACAGGTTACAAATATTATCTTATTATTCATAAGGCTGTTAAATGAGGAGCATGTATTTTAGATGAGAACAAAACATTTATTATAGCACAAAATGTTTTTTTATATGAATATTGCAATATTGTTTAAAAGTAAAAATGTCAATTTAAATGTCTGCCATATCTAAAGACATGACAGGTTGCGAGCGTGGTGTGTGTGGGCGGTTAATCTTTTTTTTAATCTTGATTTAAATTTTTTAAAGAAAAATATTGCAATTATGCATATTGAAATATTGTTTAAAAGTAAAAATGTCAACTTAAATGTCTGCCTCATGAAACATCCTGGTTTATTAAGTCCATTGCAGTATTTAAACAGGGAGAAAATAAAAAAAGAGCCCTTGTTCTGGAGTCACTGTGTAGCCTAACTGGTAGGTCATGACCCAGAAATGGGTCACAGATTTGTTACTGTAATATTAAAAAAAAAAAAATCCGGTAATTTTTCATTCAGAAATTGCTAGTAAATTTCACACATAATTACAAAGAAATGGCAAGTAACATATTGAATTAAAGATACAATTTTGAAGTACAAAGACTGAAATGGTATTTTCTCGTAAAATGTTGGCCTACTCCAGTAATTTGTGTTTTATGTACAAATTTGAAAAGTCCAACTAACTATATTTTAGTGCATAGATTTATTAACTTTTAAAATTAAGATGATAAGCAATGCATAAATACATGATGCTGTTTTGTTCATAATTGTTTATGCAATTTACAAAATTATATTTGATTTAGATTAGTTAATTTAGACGTAATGCACGTTTTTTTATAGACAGTTATTTCCTTGCGTTGACATTACGTGCTGCATTATTTTGCTCATTGCGCCCTCCTGTGGCCTCGGGAGACAAGCCAAAAGTTTCCTTAAGACCTATATTTAATCTGCATATAAAACATTAGAAATTAGATATTTGTTTAATATTTATTGTATGTTTGACTGTTAAAACAAAAATGATTTGTTGTTTGTCTCAATAAATTGGGTCAATTTAAAAATACAGTGGTTAACATATGAAACATATCGTTGATACATTTTTTAGCTAAATCGCCCAGCCCTATGTTTATCTTCAAAAACCATTAACAAAACTATGCAAGATCAAAGAAAATATGACCCACTCTGCATTAAATACTGAATAATTTTCTATTTAGAGTTAATTCTAAAAATCTTTATGCTTTTTAAAGCAGTATTCTCACTTCAAGAAGCAACCGCAGTGTGTATGAGACACTGATGTGCGAGAGAAGTGTGAAGATCACCTCTCTCACGCAGCTTCTTCTCTGGCTCACATGTTAGAAATCATAAAAATATCATCTCATCTCATTTTACACACGTTTTCCACAGACTTCACAACATGGAGTCATAGTGTGAGCGCATAGTCTATTCGATAAAAAAATGACACACAGTCCATCAGACAATATTAGTGCACCTTGGCTCTTATGCGACCACTCATAGAATTCAAACATGTTGTCATCATATGCTCGCTCAGGCCTGCGTAGCACAACATGCTTAATGAACTTAAAATGCGTGCAGTGGTGTTCCATACAGTGGAAAAGCATTTTCTTAACATTAAATTTAACCATAAAAACTTGACTGGAATACCTTGAGTAGAAGAAACCAAGCTGAACTGAATCTGAAGTAAATTACTAGCTAGCTACTGTATCTACAGTGCATTATAGTTAACTCAAGATAATTTATGGTAACCATATTTATTTATTTATTTATTATATGTTCTCAAGATAAACACCCTTGTGAAAAAGAAGTGTGCTTAATTGTATTGAATGTGCACTTGTAGTGTACGTAAAAGTATATTTTTTAAAAACTGTACTGGCAGGTAATGTAATATTAATGAAATACAAGGCATCTTAAGTGTACTTAAAGAGAATACATTAATGCACGTATGTGCACTTTAAAAAAGTGCACATTCTAGTAATGTAAAATTAAAAGTTTTAATGAGTTTAAAGAAGTACACACTTATTTTGATGTGTTTGAATGACATACCAAAGTACACTGATTGTCAGTACATTGGACAGTGCACTTTAACCATATTTCAAAAACAATAGAATTATGAAATTATATATTTATATGTATTCATTCCCACCTAAGTGGGCCAAAAAAGCACTCAATAATTAAATATAATTAAATGCAATAAATAATTTCTTAAATCTTCTTCCAAAGCATGCTGGAAGCTAGAAATCCCCTGTATTGTTTCAGCAATGCTACACTAATGGCATGAAAATAAAAGTCCCTGTGTAAAATAATACATTTTAAATAAAGGCAAGGCACCAAAGTAAAGTCCAATTTTTTACAGCCTTTTTTTAATGTTCTATCTATATTCTTATATCATTTTTTGATTTTGGATGCAGAATGAATGATCCTCACTTGTAGCTGCTGGCAATTCTAAAATATGTTCTCTTTACAGATTGAAAGCTCTGGCATCAACTGGAGGCAGAAGTGTTCAGCTTGCATGTGACTGGTAAGCTTTCCTAAACCCTGCTTGAATTGACTCTTCTTGATGAATAGTACCACCCTCTAGTGGTTCATTTGAGGCAATCCAGATGTTCTATACATAAAACAATCAGAATTTCTTGTTAACATTTAAAATTACACAGGCTCTATTTTCTGGTTTAGCTGGGCTGTAGTGTTCATGATCATGTGCATGTGTCTATATAGGCTTTTCTCTCATTTGGATGACCCTTTCCTGAATGACCCTTTACCGAGAGAGTATGTGCTGTATCTGCGCCCCAGTGGGCCTTTACAAAACCAGCTTTCTCATTTCTGGCAGCAGTCTCGCTTGACTTGTGGAAAAAACAAAGCTCACAACATATTCCCACACATCACACTCTGCCAGTTCTTTATGGTGAGTCACAATTTCTGTTTTTAACTTGATGTCTTATTCTCATGTTGCTGAATTACATTTCTTTATTTTATGTATTTGTAGTGTCCAGACAATAAACTAGTGGCTCTGTGTGAAGCTCTGCAGTCTACAGTAAATCAGTGGAGAGGAATCTTCCCCAGCCCTCTGCCCCTGGAGCTCTACACCTCCACCAACTTCATAGGCCTCTTTGTGGAGGAGCAGGTGGCTGAGTCGCTGAAGAAGTTTGCGGCTGACTTTGCGGTGGAGGCTGCTGCTAAAGCTGGTGGGGAGGCGTGATCAGAGCATTTGTGACAGATGGTGCCTGCATAGTGCTCACGTTTTTTTTCTAATCAGCTCCATTACTCATCCTCATGTCATTCCAAACCCGTATGACTGACGTTCTTTCTTGGAACATAAATTAAGAAATTAAGCAGAATGTCCAAGCTGTTTTTGCAGCGGCGCCCGGGGAGCAGTTGGGGTTGCCTTGCTCAAGGGCACCTCAGTCGTGGTATTGAAGGTGGGAGAGAGCGCTGTACATTCACTCCCCCCACCTACAATCCCTGCCGGTACGAGACTCGAACCCACAACCTTTGGGTTACAAGTCTGACTTGCTAACCATTAGGCCAAAACCAGAACCCTCTGCTTTCAATGTATGGATAAGAGCAGCAAATATGTTCACTTTTTCTTTTTTTGATTTACTGAAAAACGAAAGACAATGACGTTGAGTAAATGGTGACAGAATTATTTTTTTTTGAGTGAACTGTCACTTTACATTTTTGTGTTTCAAAGATAAACTGTAAATTAAACATTCCGGATGTTTTATCTGTTTAAATCCTGTTCAAATGAAATGAACTGATTCTGATTCATTGATCAGAATGCTGTGTATTTGAATAGAAAATAAATTCAGAAAAATGCTCATAACTCTATTATTTCATAGATGTTCACTTGGAACCCCATAAAAAGCAGCTTCATTTGACTCTAGCCTATCACTTCCCAACCAATCATTATTCTTCCTTGGAAAAGTTGGCAAGAGGGATTGAGGTCAAGCTGGGTTGTGATTGGCTTTCTGCCCTCTTCTCACGAGACATACAATTTGCAAATCATGAGGTGAGGCCCATATTAAGCATTATTTGTTTAAAACCTAGTTTGACTAATTTTTTTTTCAGTTGAAATGATTTGCTAGTTCACATAAATGCACTTTAATGCAGACCTACCTCTGTTTCATTTGTCAGACTTTGCGAGTGATGTACCCCTACACTCCTCAGAATGACGATGAGCTGGAACTGGTACCAGGAGACTTTATCTTCTCATCTACAGTGGAGCAAGTGAGCACTAGTGAGGGCTGGGTGTATGGCACGTCTCTGGGTACAGGCATCTCTGGACTGCTGCCTGAGAACTATGTGAGCCCTGCTGATGAGTCTGACACATGGGTCTTCCATGGGTAAGTTCTCCAAATGATGTGCTGTAAGTTTGATCAGTTCTCAGCATCAGCGAGACTTGTCAGTATTGCTTGCACCTACTTAGGGTTCAAGGGAAAGTTCACCTAAAATGTACTCATCGGCTATATCTGAAATCTACTCTCTGAGTAGTACTTATTTTGAATAATTAATGTTTAGTATGAATTTAATTTGGATCTACTACATTTGGCATCGCCACTGTCATGTGATCTATAAGCCTCAGTTGCATCGCTTTACTGTCATTCACAAATCCTATCCTGTGGCCTCATGGGATAGTAAAGTGTCCACTGGATGCACACTTCAGAATTTTGCCAGAACTATTCGGTCATCCAGGAACTTTTCGCCTACTGTTCTCTGAATACTATCAATTCAGACACAATTTTTTTTTAACATACTGTTTTTTTGCCTGTTATATTGTCATTCATACACTTTATGACCTTTTTTCGTCCGTGGAAAACACACACAAAATAATAATAATGTGAAAAATATTTTGGTGTGTTTGTCCATACAGTGAAATTGAATGGGATCCAATGTTGTTTGGAGACCAGGGGTGAACTATCCCTTTAAGCATTTAAACAAACTTCAAATTAAAACTCCAAAATTAAAAGTAAATACCTAAAACATAAAAAAAACATTTAGAACAGTGTCCTGGCATTGTGGCTAACACCTAAAAATCACTAAAAATCTTTCCTTTATCATTGTAATCTCATTCTCACAGTCTGAATGAATGATAAATATCTTAAATGTTAAGAAAATGTTAAGTTTTGCAGTGCATTTATATCTACGCTCCTTAAACAGGTCACACTCCTTCTTTTGTACTTCCCCTTCGGAAAAGGGTTGCAAGGAGAGCAAATCACTGGATGGGCTGCTTAACATTCGATGCTTTGAAAACTCAAAGCTGGGAGAGTCTGCCATCTTGAGTGTTATTTGCCAACCTATGCAGGTGCCTATTACTATACATTACAGCAATGAAAGTAACATTTCCAACATTTTTCATTGTTGAGTTTGAGTTAGTTAGAAATAAATTTGGATTTGTGCAGATACTAATGATTTGAGTGATTTATTTTGTGCTGTTGATGATAGGTGCTCCGCTCCAACATTCTTTCTCGGACCCCTAAAAGGACCCTGTTTGTATGTCGGCATGGAGAAAGAATGGATGTTGTGTTTGGGAAACACTGGCTCTCACAGTGCACTGACTCTAAAGGTAATCTGAACAGACGGGTCATGGTGCCTCGCTCACACGATAGTTAGTTTGCAAGCTCAGTTTGTCTTCCTGTAGGCAGGTACGTGAGGAGTAACCTGAATATGCCTGCTGCACTACCTGCCTGGGGTGGAGCACACAGGGACTATGAAATGGACACTCCTATCACAGTGGTTGGAGCTACACAGGCTAAGATAGTGGGTATGTCTGCTCAGTACACTCTTAAAAATAAAGGTGCTTCACGATGCCATAGAATAACCTTTTTGTCTAAATGGTTCCATAAAGAACCTTTAACATCTGAAGAACCTTTCTGTTTGACAAAAGGTTCTTTGTGGCGAAAGAAGGTTCTTCAGATTATAAAAAGGTTAGAAAGAGATGGTTCTTTAAAGAACCTTTGACTAAATGGTTCTTTGTGGAACTAAAAATGGTTCTTCTATGGCATCGCTTGAAGAACCTTTTGAAGCACCTTTATTTTTAAGAGTGTATTATGATGTTCACATGAATTCACCAAGTGAATTGTCCCTCATGCTCTTTTTATGTCATCCGTCTGGTTTCCAGGTGAGGCTATGCTGGAAAATAATACCACTATTGATTTTGTGTACTGCTCACCCAGTCTCCGATGTGTCCAGACAGCTCATGAAATCCTCAGAGGTACGTACTGAAGTCAGGAATCTGTTGGCAGCAGTGGTCTACATGTCTACAGGAAAATTCCAATAGGAGCATGTAAATGTCTTTTAGACCAGGGCTTTTAAATCTTTTAGTTGCCATGGTGCCCAAAATATGACAATCACCTTGCAAGAGACTTAAAATATAAAAGGTAGCTATATAACATATATTATAAATTATTATTATTAATATATTATTATATATTATCATTTATAAATTATTATAAATTAATACATTATTTATAGATTATAAATACCCAATTTATATTGTGAAAAGTATAAAATATTATAAATACACAATTGTTCAGTCAGCATGAAAAAAAGAAACAATACTTTTAGACAGCAAGGATGCATTAAATTGATTAAAAGAAAATCAATTAAATACCTGTATAATTTTACAAAAAAATACTGTCAAAGATTTCTGAAAAAATTTATCATGGTTTCCACAAAAAAAACTGTTTTCATAATAACATTGGCAATAATAAAATGTTAAAATGTAATGTAAATTTAACCCCCTGGAGCCGTGTGGAGTACTTTTTAAGACGGATGGATGCACTATATTTTGCTTCAAAATCTCGACCACCATTCACTGCCATTATAAAGCTTGTAAGAGTCAGGACATTTTTTTATATAACTCCGATTGTATTCGTCTGAAAGAAGAAAGTACACTTAGTATGGCTTAAGTTACACTTTTACTTTTTTCTATCCACCAGTAGATTATTTTAACACCAGTAGATTTTAGAGAATGCTGAAATGAAGCTTGTATTAGACTTGAATATTCCAGAAAGTTCCATGCTGCTTCAGAAATGGCTGTTTTGCTACATCTTTATTGACATTTTCACTTTATTAGTCTACTTTACATTAAAATGCTCTGTGAACCCAATGCCATGCGCACATTTTCTAGGAATGCAGCAAGATGGCAGAATAAGCATTCGAGTGGAGCCTGGGCTTTTTGAGTGGACTAAATGGGTGACAGGAACATCTTTGCCTGCTTGGATACCCCCCACAGATCTTGCTGCGGCCAACCTTAATGTAGACACAACATACAGGTAACAAATGGAGGAATCGTATACACTGTAGGAGCTATTTACATTTCAAATTCTGTCCTGATCGACAGTTGCCTTTCCGCAGACCTCACATCCCGATTAGCAAACTAACTGTCTCGGAGGCGTATGACACGTACATTAGTCGCAGCCACCAGGTGACCAAAGACATTTTGGCGTACTGCAAAAATAAGGGTGAGTGATTTAAAAATACTGCTTTTAGTACTTGACCCTCACAGATCTTTACTAATACCCTCCTGTTTTTACATCAGGAAAAAATATTCTGTTTGTGGGACATGCTTCCACTTTGGAGGCCTGCACTCGCCAGATCCAGGGCCTTTCTCCTCAGAATCCCAAAGATTTTGTGCAAGTAGTCAGAAAGGTTAGTTTCATCCATTTTACTGTAAACATTTGATCTTTAAGCATGATGCTTTATGGGAGCCAATCTTTCCGTCCAGATTCCATACCTGGGTCTGTGTGCCTGTGAGGAGCAGGGGGACTCAGGGTTCTGGCAGCTAGTGGACCCACCAATTCTTCCTTTAACTCACGGGCCCAACCACAGCTTCAGCTGGAGAGAGACTCTACAGCAAGAATGACCTTATCTGCAGGGTCTGTTCACAAGAGACTGAAATGTTACCTCCACTGGAAGCACACAACCGAGAATATTTTTAAACAGATCTAATCTGTCACATCCAGATTTAAGTTATGCAAATAATATAAGGGATGTGGCAGAGTGTTTGCTTGCAGGTGGACAGAGGAGATGCACTGAATAATGAACATTTGTGGTAGTGTTTACTGAGCCTTTAAAAAGGCTTTCTCAGGGCATTGCCTTTCACTTTTAACAGGTCAAAATGCACAGTGGCATAATGCAGCACTTATCGTAAAGATTAAAGATCACTTCCTGCCATGCAAATACCGACAATTTTGCAATGAGATGTTAAAGAGCTTAGAGGCATTCATGTCTTAATCATTTCTCTTGCAAATGTAACTTGAATGCATAAAAAGTGTATTATTTGTTTTAGCATAGCTGAATGAATATCAAATGCATTTGTAATATCTTTACTTTAAAGCTGAAGTGTGTAATTATTAAAATAATATCATAATAAAATAAACAGACAGTCGGTATATTTGATATTCAGTATGGAGCAGGACTTGGTCCAGACCGAAACGGTGACTGGTTTGGACAACAACTTTCTGAGGAGACGGAGATATCAGACTTCATAATTTGTCATCTTAAAGTAGTGTGACCAGTGTCTGGGCATATGCCATAGCATCTCAAAATAGCATAGCATCATAAAAATATTTTTTTAAACTATCGATTGAGTTTCATATGTGAATACACAGCATAATTATTGAATGAAGCCTTAATGTACTGTAGTTTGACTAGATGAATTACAAAATCTCTCCGCATTTAGCAGTATATCTACAATCAGAGATAATTTAATATCACTTGCTTACTATTAAAAATTAGTATTTCAAGCATGTTCCATCATTTAAAATGACAACTGCTTATTTTTGTCAAATTCTTCGACTAATAATATATACTTGGAAAAGTCAGTATGTTTTTCAGCGTGCACTCAATATGCATCTGCTTTTGAACAGGTGCCATTCTTGTTTGAAATTATAAGTGACTTGTTTATTAGAACTTTCAGGAATGATATCCTGTAGAGATCCGTGAATGAATGGTTCTTATGAGTTGAATCGCTTGAACGCATAATTTGTATTGTATTCAACACATTGTTTAATGGAATTACAAGCTGCATTTATGTCCTAAATTACTGTTTTTATAAATGATGAATGGTCACAAAATTATCAATAACCCTTATTACTAAAGCCTAATTAAAACATTAAATTATTGGAATGAAATTGAGTTATAAGTTATTAGCAAATATTCCACACCTGGACGTCTAGAGCCACACGATGACGCAATTGAGTCATGGCGTAAGACTTCTTTTTATGAACTGGTTCTTTGGAACAAAATGTTTGAAAGAACCGATTTGCGGAAATGATTCGAACGAGTGACAGATGTAGTGTACCAGCTCAGTTCAGCGGCTGACTGACTGGAGCCTCATATGATAGCTAGCTGAGTGATTTCTTTGTTTAGTAGGCCTACTCATCTCTAGCATGGACAGTGGCCCCAAAAAATACAGCAGAGATATATCATCAAAAAAAGAGCTGAGAAATACCCCCTAATTGCAATAATTTATGCAAAAAATATTAAAGGGTGCAATAATGTTTATTAGGATTTTAAACAATAAATTTATTGTTTTTTGTGAAAACCCTTCATAAACAGAGTTGACCCTTTAAGTAACAGAATTGTAAAGTGACAGAATTGACAGAATTGTCTGATGGAATGTCAATTCTGTTACCGCATTGTCAGCATTGTTACTCTACCTTGGTAACACAGTTTGACAGTAACATAATTGACAGTTTTCTTAATTTTTTGCCAAAAACTCCAATGCTAAGAGCACATGGCACTAATTAAATCATGATTAAAAGACTTTTAAATAATACAGTGTGATCAATGAAAAAAAATCTGTTTTCCTTTTGATATTGTGGTAACGGATTTGACACTTTATAAAAGAACTCTTGGTGTAAGAATTTTTAGATTAAAATATTTTCTTAGAGAGAGCACATAGACTTTTCAGTGCTTTAGATCTTAACAGTGAGGGAAAGTGACATCATTTCCTGTATCTTACATAGTTGTGGGAAATAATTCCACTCATTTAAAGGCAAAATATGGTACAGTAGCAGAGTTGACGCTAGATTTATGGACACAAATTTTTATAAGAAAAAAGTTTTTTTTTGTTAATAATGTTGTAGAATTAGTGAAATGACTCTTTAGGGCTTTTATAAATAAAATGAATGAAATATTACAAAAAAAAGTATATAATAAAATTGATTACACAATGATACATGATGGAAAAATTGCACTGACTAATTCGAGCAACAATAAATCATGATTTTCAGCTATTTAATACACTTTTTGCAAAAAAGATTATATTATGGATTGTAACATCATGTAATTCATAAGAATTAGTAACACAGTATTAAAATAATAAAATATAACCATTTGAAAAAAGCAGAAAAAAAATAATGACTTCGGACACCAAATGTACCTGCAATTATAGAATCACTCATATATATATATATATATATATATATAGATACACAATATATCAACAAACAAACAAACAAACAAAATGTTCTTAAGGAGAAGGACATTAACTTGAATTTTAAAGACAAGAAAAGGAAAATGTATTTCTGTTTCATTCACACATCTATTATATGAGAGCCTATTATATAGGCTATAAAAAGTGTTCTTTGTTTTCATTTCAGATATCAAAAAAACTTTTTCAAAATGTCTAAATATCATAGGGAATTAAAAGAGCTGCAAATTGCAGCATACTACAGGGCTAATCTAGCTGACTGAAATCAAGTCCTCAGGAACTATTTATTTCCTGTAGGAGGCAATAGAGCTTCATACGGTGCAATGCAAGTACTGTAGCCGCGCCATTGCTTCATGCAGCAACAAGACCTGTGAATTTTCCACTTTTTGCTTGTTAAGCTCATTTAGTTCAAGGCCAGTTTTTAGACTCTTAACATGCACACAAAAGGTCCATTGTGGGGTTGTGCAGGTGTTTCTAGTTTATTAAGAAGAAAGCAGTAATGAAAATGTGCAGTTTCAGAGTATTTTCTTTTCAGAGTTTTTTTTCTTCAGTCTATGGTTTGCACAGATAACTTACCATAATAATTAATTTTAAGTAATTCTAAATATTTTATCATGCATAATTAAAAATAATATAAAATATCTTAAGTTTTCATATAGCAAAGGGGCCATCTGCCATCTGCTGTCTCTAATTCTTTCTGATTCATTATATTTTTGTATCAGAAAGAATATGCAAATACTTAAAGTGTGATAAATATAATTTATTTGCTTGTAGAACAAATGACCTGCACCGTAGCTGCTGCTGTTTGCATGAGGTTAGTAGCTTTATTAATGCACACAACTGGGAGAGATTAGGGTCTGACTTATTTACCATGATGAATTAAAATAGTCTATGCATTGTTTGTTGAGATTTATTAGCTGTTTTAAATGTGTCCTTTCTTTTTTTATTTGCAGATGAAGCACAGATAACCACATGCTATTCAGCATCAATGGGACGCATTGCAGAGTTAAGCCACATTCTTCTTGTTTGTTTTCACTTCGTAAAGTCATCGGGTCAGTGTAGTGGCTTGCCTGTCAATGCTGCTGTGTTATGGAAAGGCGTGACCCAAGAAAGGCAGTAAATGTACCACCTTTGTTCTTGATATAGTTTTTATGTACGGACAATGTGAGCTGTTTGTCTGACTGAAGTGGTGATTAAAGCTGACAAATAGGGCCAGGGCTAAGAGCCACTGGCTGAATCCACGGTAGGTTCTCTTAAAGCTTAATTGGCATTATTTTGGCCTTGAAGGGTCACAGACTTAAACCTTTTATTGTGGTCACTGTAATGACAGTCTTCCTCCCCCACTTCTGCACTTCCCTGCACCGTTTTGTTCTTACCCAGTCAGACAACCACCTTCACCTCAGCACGAGTGCTCTTTTTACCTCCTTTTTTTCCCCCCATAACCTTTGACCTTATGGACCGATCTGCCATCATCTGGAGCAGTCCTCCCCGATTTAATTTTCTCTTTTTTAGTCACACCCGCCAAACTAATCTGGCAATTTGTTTATGGAAAACATTGGAGGTTTTGTGTAAACACCTTTGAAATCATATTACCTAATTAATTCAGTTTTATAATGAACTTGTCTTAAACTGAATAAACCATTTAAGATGCCCTTTCTGGAATCCTCCAGATTCTTTCTAAATTATAAAGGTTGCTGTGTATTTTAAGACTCATACTGTGTGAGAAACAGCAAATATGATATTATAAAGACAATGTGATGGTTAAAAATAAAAAATGAAATAATTGGCATTTATCTTTGTACTAAAGTTAAAAAAATAATTATTTTTAATTCAATTCAGATTTATTTGTATAGCAAATTTTACAATAAATCCAAAGCAGCTTTAAAGAAAATATTGAAATACTAGGGTTAAAATAAAGGGTTAAAGTTGTGAGGAGAAACTTTACTTGAAATTATGTACATTGCAACACACACTTTTTAATTTTTTCCACCCACAGATCAGTTTGTTGCCACCTGGGTCCTTGGACCCCATTCTGAAAACCCCTGTTCTAGGTAGCGATACTCCGATGTTTTAAAAAAAAAATGAGTAGACACTATTTGAGGTAAGACATTAACTTGGTATTTGTTTGGTGCCTACAGGGACATGGTATGATGGACAGGTATTAAGAGGGAAGAGGAATGAAGAGAACGAGGTAGGGTTCTCATTGTAGGGTGGCAATCAGGGAAAGACAGGGTGTGTGGGGGAAGAGAAAGTGAGAGTGTGTGAAAGAGGAGAGAGCTAGAGGGATGCTGAGAGAATGTCTCAAAGGACTAATGTCCTCATTGTACAACCTGGTTTGAATGCAGACAGATTCTCTGAGAAATTAGGGTAGGAGAGACAATCGCCAGAGCATTGCAGAAACACCCCATGCTCCCTTTTCTGATATGGATAACATAAAATGTACTACCTGATTTAAAAAATTTAGATTTTAAAAGATAAATGATCAACCTGTATTTTTGTTTTGATTAATAATAATAATAATAAAAAACTTGATTTATTTTGTAATTTTCTCTGCATAGAAGCTTGTTCCAGCTAAATCACGTTTTCTAGAATGAGTCTATTTGCTCTTCAGGCTTATCAGCTCAGCGTGTGTTTTTGAGGGTGGGCTGGAGAATATGAGCAATGTTCCATGGGTCGTGCATGTGTTTTGTCTGCGATAGATAGAGCAGTCTGTGATAAGTATGCATGTATGCATGACTACAGCAGTGGTTTGTTTTGCTACATTCGGCAAGCAAAAAAGTCTCATCCGGTTGGTCAGTGAAATGGCAAATACAGCAGCATGTACACTGAGACAAGGCGCTTATCAGAGTTATCCAGACAGCCGCACACAGATAGAAGAGTAAAAACAGACATGCACACACTGACAAACACCATGGGGGGGTGGGGGGGGGTCTCTTTCTTCCATTGGGTGGATATGTATATGAAACTTCATACTGTAAATCTGTGTTATACTAGAAATATATTTTAAATATGGCAATTATCCATAATCAGTTTTTTGACAATCTGAATTGCTCGGTTTAGTTATTTTTCTATTAGGGTTCATGTTTTGTGTTGTAGTTGTTTTGTTTGTGGTGGTTTGTGTTTTTATAATAACTTAACATAGTTAGCATAACTTAACATAGAATAATTACACAATAGTAAACATACTCAATTTCAGTCCTTTTCAGCTGCACAGTTACTTAAGGTAAACTGTAGAATTATTTTTTGTTGATGACATTATACTATTTATTACATGGCTACTTAACAAATAAATAAATGCAGGGACCTGAAATATTGATTAGAGTTGAAATTATACTTTATCATGTAAAAAAAGAGATTTCAGATTGCAAGGCAGACGTGAAAATACAGTAGCACAGTGTAGAGGACAATTATACAGTTTAGTGGCCATTATACAAAAATGGCAGCATAAATGATATCATTTATTATGTTATTTTATTTTGTATTAAATCATATAAAAGGTAAATTAGTATTAATCTATCATTCGAAAGGTTGTGGTGATTTTATTTAGAGAATACATTAAATATTAATCAAAAGTCACAGTAAATCCATGCATAATGTTACAAAAGGTTTCTATTTCAAATAAATGCTGTAAATTAAATCTTGAACTTTATATTTACCAAAGAATCCTTTTATGAAATGTATCACAGTTTAACAAAAATATTTAGCAACACAACTGTTTTCAACATTGATAATAATAGGAAATGTTTTTCTGAGCACCAAATCAGCATATTCAGCATACAAAAAATCTTACTGACCCTGAAACTTTTGAATGGTAGTATATAAAGAAATTATTTAAGACCTGTTTGAGTTTCAATAGAGGACAGGGAGTTCACTAAGGGAGGAGGGGGGGGGGGGGGGGGGGGTCACCTGTGTTTTGTGAGAACTTGAGAAGAGCAGTAACACAAGTAGGTATTTCACATCTTACTTAACCAATTAAACACTTTTGCTCAGGTGTCTTTTTACCTCACACATTCCTATTCTTTGTAGAAAAAGCACTTTGTTTGGGAAAGCCAGTCATTTTGTGATGCCCCGGGGCAGATGAAGGGTCAGGGGGTTAGTTAGGTGCCGTTCTCCCAGCAGTGGACACTTTGTTTGGGAAAGCCAGTCATTTTGTGATGCCCCGGGGCAGATGAAGGGTCAGGGGGTTAGTTAGGTGCCGTTCTCCCAGCAGTGTTATTGATTGGGTGGGGGGATCTTTCCCTCCTCTCCTTCTGATGGAGGCCGGACTATGGTCTGAGCCGCATTCCTGGCCCGGGACCCTCCCATTTGTGGTACAGACCTCTTGCCATTTAACCACCTGCCTGCAATAAAGAGAAGCAAGTGGCCGGCAAACTTCAGCGTTTGCCTCGGGCAGCTGGACGTGTTATTGATTGGGTGGGGGGATCTTTCCCTCCTCTCCTTCTGATGGAGGCCGGACTATGGTCTGAGCCGCATTCCTGGGTTCTGATCAGCTCGGAGGCAGAAGGGAGGGAGGATGTAAAGAGGAGGAGGGACCCAGGGACTGGAAATCACTTGTCATGTGTGTATAAAAGTGTGCCTTTCATTTCAGAGCATGCTCACTGAGACACGCTCGGCTCCCACCAAATCCAGCCCCCAAATTTGAACTGGAGGGAGGGGAAGTTACGGCACTGACTCTTGTGTTGTACTCCTCTGTGTCTGTTTGGCTCCCACTCTGCATGGTTCCCTCTGCATCTATGGCTCTGCGGCTGAAAAGGTGAACACGGATTACACTGGAAAAGATGGACGACATTGACAGGAAGCCATGTGAGATGAGTGCGTGCTCTTTTTCTTAGTTCTAGTGTTTTTTGCCCCTGTACAGCATATCACTTAAGCCAGGATAACTTCATCAGAAAGATAAGCAGCGGTTGGTATAAAAATCTGAAAAAGAATGAGGTCAAAGAAACGTGTAGTTTGAAGTGTTGTTGAGCTCAAATGGAAAGAATTGACTTGTTTGCTTCAGGTCGGCAATCAGTGAAGTATAAGAAAAGGTCAGGAGTGATGTTTGCCTTGTGTTTACGTGCTGGCAAAATGGGGTTAGGAGGCTTTGACTTGTGTAATGATGTGGGAAGACACGTGGACACATTCTGAGAACTCCTGGACTGACACAGGGTTCAGAGTTTACCTAAATCCTCGGGAAGCATCTTATCACTGCTTCATGTGTGGCTGCTCTGATTCAGAGTGTATATCTATCTGAGATGTGACGGGAGGGCGGAAGGGATTTGCCTCTGCTGCGGCCATGTGGGTATGATAAAAAAGGGCAGATTTCATAAAGTGCTGTGCTGTTCACGTGGTTGCTTTTCTGAATTCTTGCTACATCCCTTTCTGTAGTCATGTGAAGTTCTGTGCTTTTGTGCCCCACAAGCTGTTGTCAGAGATTTTAGAGTTTCTTGCCACTAATATATTCTTGTGTGTTTTAAGAATCTGCTCTAAGTGTCTTTAGACATTATTTTGTAAAGGTGTGAATGGTTAAAATGTTTTGTAGAGTGATGAACATTAATGGATTTGTCACCTGCTGCATCTAAAGTAATGAAATAAGGCAGCAATACTATAAAAAGCAGTAACATATCTCTAATGGGTAATTTTCTGTCATCTTTTAAAAGCTCATTAATGTAACCTTGTAATGCAAAAATATTTTAATGTGACTTTATTTAACTGTGTTTCAATAGTCAAATCTAGTCAGTTGTCTAGTCTAGTTAATGTATCCTCTAAGGTGAAACCACCTGGATGTGTTATTTTAAAGTGTCAGACCAGGAAGATGATGTAATTTTCACAGCTAATACAATATATTTTTTTGTTTGAAATCTACAAGCTAGAGACACTTGAATGACACATTTGACTGCACAGTATTGTCATTCAGGTCTGTATAGTTAGTTTATCTGACTTTTAAACCTTTAAATGTAACTAAAATGTATATAATTTGTGTCATTTGTGCTATGAAACAAGCTCCTCAGAAGTGCCAAGCTTCTTTCTCTATCGGTGTCTTTTAATAGCAATTGTTCATACTAGTAATAGCATTATTGACATTTCAGTGAAGTTTTTTTTAACACGCTTTACATTTTACACAGATTCAGAATTATGTATTAATCTTGTTGTTGTATCTTTTGTGCTAGTCATCTAATTTTTTGAAAGTAAAAGCTATTTCTCTCTTTCTTTTGATATCCAGAGGGGAAACAGCAGACAGTCCATGAAATCATTCTCCCACCCAGCTGTTGACAGCTGTGCTGATGGGCAGCTCCCTTCTCCAGCAGGAGATGTAGAGATGAGCTGTGTTTTTCGACATATTAAACCGCTGTTTGTTTTGTGATGAAGCCTCACCAGACAAAGCACTAACTCCCATTCTTTGATATTGGGAATTCACAGCTGGGAAGTGCTGTTTGGCAGCCAATAGCAGTATGAAAATCCCATAACCCACTAATATGGTTTCTTTTCATTGCACCCTTTCGCACTTTTTAATAACTGTTACACATACTGCATATGAAAAGCATGTTTGCACTCTAAATCATTGACTCTTAGGTACTTGTTCTAGCACTTAGATAATTACACACATTTATCGCCTTAACTTTATGAGTGTTATTTTATGGGCACAAACACTCTTGGTTAGTGGTCAGTTATAATGTTTGATTTGAATAAAACCAAATATCTATTTCAAGAAAACGTCTCAGGTTACTTATGTAATCATGGTTCCCTGAGGGGAACGAGACACTGCGTCCTCTAGGGGTCACTATGGGGAACGCCTCATCGTGACCCGTGTCTGAAGCCTACATTGAAAAAAACACCATCTTGTTTGGCCAGCGACAGCCATGACGTCACTACCGTCGCAACTAGTACAAAATAGGCGCCGGTAGCGCACATCACTTCTTCGTCTGAAGCTTGTGTCCGCAGCATGGCACAAAAACTAGAGGACGCAGTGTCTCGTTCCCCTCAGGGAACCATGGTTACATAAGTAACCCGAGACGAGCTCATTCTAGCCGGGGGAGCCCAAACCCAAATCTCACCGAGATGGGGGGGGGGCCCCCAACCATCAGCATGATTAATAATCAGAGGGGTAGCATACTGCAGGCTAGCCACATCGCCAGCGCATCAGGGAGGCGGAGGACGGCCCAATCCTACTGATGCAGCTGGTTCGAGGTCTTTCCAGAAGACAGCGAGCTCAAGCCTCTCATGAAAGAGGCACCTCAATTTTTCCTCAGCGGAGGAATACTGTTCCCATTCCAGGTGACCCTTTCCTGAAAGGGGAGCAGTGCTCAACATCACCAAGAGGACAGCCCATGGAGCGAGGGATTCAACTCCTCGGAGAGGATCCTGCTCGCCAGACGACACCCTCTTAGTACCCCTTGATATCGAGGGGGGCAGTGCCTCCTGAGTGCGTCGATCGAGACACACTGGTTGAGAGGAGCCCAGGAAATCGGGGTCTAACCATCTCTGAAACAGGGAACGAAGTCCGAAAACGCGTAACCCTTACCGTACAGGATTTTAGAGAGGTGGGCAAAGAAGAACGTGCGCACCTACCACTTTCGTGGGCTGCCTCCCCTCGACCCACGATACTTCTTACCCCCACCCACAGGTGGAGGTGGGACGCGAGTCGCGACACTAGCCCTCTGTGCCCGTCTCTGACCCTCAGACCAAGACGGGCCAGGACCCCTGGTTTGTTCGGGCTCAGACCTGGGCCTTCGTGGTATGAAGGACTTGAACGCTGCTGTGCGCGACTTTGCCTCCTTGAATTTGTCGACCACCGTCTCAACGGAGGTGCCAAACAGTTCAGAGGGCGAAACCGGGGCATCGAGAAGAAAGCCCCTTTCTTTCTTCCCGATGTCCGCCAAGTTCACCCACAACTGCCGCTATAGCGACCCCTAGAGGACGCAGTTCGAAGTTCCACGAAAGGGAACCATGGGCATGTTTCCATTGAAAAGCACATTTTCATAACTTTCCCCATCACAATTATATAAATTGAGTTCTGAGATATAAAGAATTGAGTTCTGACTAGGGATGGGCGATACCACTTATTTTGTTTTCGATACGATACCGATACTTTAAAAAAAAGAATATTGATACCGATACGATACTTCTAAATGGAACTTTTAAATTATGAAATTTATTCAATTATTACATTACTAAGAGTAATATGGGTAATGATAACCACTTAACTTTATATTTGGAACACATTTTAACATTCAATACACCTTAATTGCAACTTATTAGGTTATATTTTTGTTTAAACATAGTTAAAATATGTTTACTGTAGTTGTAACCATGGAAATCTACAAATACTAAAGTTGAACTACGGTCACTTTAGTAAAACTATGGTTCATTTTCATAAGGGACTGCCAGCTCGCATTAAAATGCAACCTTTTATTCTGACAGTGTATGAGTTATACTAACATTACAGAACAGAACATGATCAATATGAACGTACAATTTAAATAAATGTAACAAACTATGTAGGCTACAATTTCAGTTTATTTATTGTGAAATAACTCTGATAAGCATTGTTCTGGGCTGCATTTCCCAAAAGCATCAATGCTTTCTTATGATACTTTTGAGAAAAGCAGCCCTGTTTGAATGCACTGTCAGAAGTGAGTGAATGCTCTCTGTGATTGATTCAGTGATTCAGGCGAACAGGAAAATAGTTCTATCCTACACAATTATTCGATAGCATAGGTTATTCATCCAATTCAGTGTATATTGTACGCATTAATTTTTGTTAAATAAATCACTGATAAATAAAACACCTTAGTATCGATATTTTTTATTTGAGTCATCCTTAAAAAACATGAACCAAATTATGTAATGTACAAGAAAATATGATCCAGACTATTTAAAAAAAGATTTCACTTGCATTGAGTATAGACATGTTTTTCCAGTAAATTATTATCTTCCTATTTGTATTATTTATATTATATTTTTGATTTTTAAGACATTTTCTTTTTGTTTACTTTTGTGTGAGGGTAGAAAAAACTGTATTGGTCACTCAGTGTCTGGGCCCTCAAACAGAACCAGTTAAAAACGTCTAATTTAGGCAATAATAATGATGGACAATAGTGGATGCTTTCTTTAATTTAGCATGAGACAGAGTGATAAAAGGACGTCACCTTTTTGAGAAACTCAGTGTAGATGTCCTGAAAAGTAAATCTTAAATATATTTTTTTTTCAGGAGAAAGGTAGTATTTACCATAGCATAGCAAATTAACAGCTGTTTACAACTATAGGTTCCAAGACGACCTCAGACTGTCGTTATGATGTCTTAGCTCACTCTGCTTTGGGCCAAAGTACATTGAATGTGTCAAATCTTTTGTTTGGTCTGGCAGACTCACGTCATTGCTCATGCAACGTTATTGTCCTGACATCAGCTGTGTGTTTTGAGTGTGGGGTGAGAGAGTTCAGTTGTTAACACAACGCTAAAAGCATGCCACAGAAGGCCACTGAGCCTTGAAGGAAAGCAGTCATTTTCCTTTTTTCAAGAATGTCCTGAGTATTATAAGAGGTGTTTCCTTTCCCACAATAGCAGGACACTGTGGTTACCCTTGGAAGCAATATTATTCCTGAGCTCTTTGTTTTCTCAGCAATCTTACCTGTCCCTGTGATGGATTTGAAGGCTGAGTGTGAAATGAGATCAGCTGATAAAAGCCACATATGCTGTAGTGGAAGCTGGTATTGTTCACGTGTGAGATCCTGGAAGGTTTATAGGCAGCAACTGGCAGCAATATTGCTGTTTGACTTTGGGTGTTGTTTGAAATGTTTTATGTCTTCCCTGTGGTCTAAGTTCAAGTACCGCAACAAAGAAATGGCCACTAAAGGCAGTTTAATTAACTCCTAGTTTACCCTAGTTTACAGTCTGAAAGTGTATGTACAGCAAAATAATAGAAAAAAAAAAAAAGAAAAACTTTCTTTCAGGTGTCTTCACAGGCTGCATGCAGCAACATACAGCCCAACCAGTGCAGATTGATTTATTAACAAATTACGTTTGAATGAATCATTCAAATATAACTTTTTCAAATGTTCATGTGTTTATAATTTTATAATAATTTTACTCATTGTTATAATTTCAGTTTTACACAGAAAGTGCAATTTAAAGGGTACATAAGTTGGTATCCGCAGAGCAGTTTTAGATGTTTTTATTACACTACCATTACACTAAACTTAAGGGTGGGACTTATTTTGAAAGGAATTACTACTTTTATTCAGCAAGGATGCATTAAATTGACATTCATCTATTGATTGAGTGCATTAAATTAAATTCAAAAGTGACAGTGAATATTTTTACATTATTTCCGACATTGAAAATTATTAGAAATATTTCTTGAGGACCAAATCAGCATATTAGAATGATCATATTGCACTGAAGACTGAAGTAATGGCTGCTGAAAATGTATCTTTGCATCACAGGAATTACGTTTTGGTATATATTAAAATATATATATATATATTTTAAAATGTAATAATATTTCACAATATTAGTTTTTTTTTACAGCCTTGGTCATACTTCATTTAAAAACATTTAAAAAAATCGTACAAACCCAAAACTTTCGAATGCTGTTATATATATCTATTAAATAAAGGGCAACTTGACAATCCTCATAAGGCTGTGGTTCTCTCGTTGATTGTACATCTTTTTCTTCCACACTTTTTCCTTCCACTCAACTTTCTGTTAACATGCTTGGATACAGCACTCTGTGAACAGCCAGCTTCTTTGGCAATGAATGTTTGTGGCTTACCCTCCTTGTGAAGGGTGTCAATGATTGTCTTCTGGACAACTGTCAGATCAGCAGTCTTCCCCATGATTGTGTAGCCTAGTGAACCAAACTGAGGGGAAACTCAGGAAACCTTTGCAGGTGTTTTGAGTTGATTAGCTGATTGGCATGTCACCATATTCTAATTAGTTGAGATAGTGAATTGGTGGGTTTTTGTTAAATGTGAGCCAAAGTCATCACAATTAAAAGAACCAAAGACTTACTTCAGTCTGTGTGCATTGAATTTATTTAATACACAAGTTTCACAATTTGAGTTTTGAAATAAATGAACTTTTCCACGACATTCTAATTTGAGATGCTCCTGGATATACTGTATATATTACAGCATTAGAGATTAGATATAAGCTATATATATATATATATATATAAGCTTAGATATAAGATATTTCATATATAAGCAAAATGGACCAAATGAATCAGAATTGAATCAAGCTTTTGAAATGTAATCGAATCGGGAAATGTTTATCGATGCCCAGTTCTGCTTCCCAGTCTGGCACAGACATGGAAAGCAAGTTATTGACAAAACGTCCTTTTGCTCTTGTGTCTGGTTAGGACAAAGACTCAAATTTAAATATTGCATGTCACTATAACTTTGTGCCAGGTAGGACACTGTGTTAGTTACTTTCCAGAAATCCCAGCCCAAACTACTCCGCACTTATTTTGCATTTCAATTTCTTGTATGAGTGTGTATTATTGTCATCATTTTTGAAACTGATTACCCCAAGTTTCTGTTTTTTCACCTCGGTTTACTCATCAGTAGCAGCAGTAAACGCGGCCATGGAGTCCGCTGGGCTTTTGCACAAGTGGAGTTTGCCATTAGTCAGGTTAACAGCTCCCGTGGTTCTTCTCCTCTATTTCTGTCTCGATCTCTCCCTCTCTCCGTGGGGTGTTCGGAGTGCCA